AGAATAATTCGGGAGGGGGAATAGAAGAGTGATTCACAGATGTAAAAGAAACAGATAGACACAAAGGCTCAGAAAGGGTAAGATTGATAATGTGGTAGGGGTTGAATATGACATACAGAGAGGGTGATGGTTGTTTGAAGTGAGAAGTTAACTGCCGGTTAATAGACTTTTCTGCCGTATAATTATACGTTGCCCAGGGTGCACCACGTGGAGGTAAGCCTATCCCACACCCTACATTTAAAAAGATAATTATTGGTCAGTTGAGTACCAAGGAACATCGTTTTTCCTGTTAGTAAATAGATCACATGAATTTTTTGTGGATGGGTTGAGCTCAACTTCACTTGTGATCGGCCACTTTATTTTTAGGCTGAGAGGTCATGCATGCCTAAGTGTCACACGTGTTTTATGTGGATAAAAAGTCGTATCGTTAATAACATGCAACGAGAGAATTCCCCCCCCCCCAAAAAAGTGGCGGAGAAAAGTACTAGGTGATGTAAAAACTTAATGCACAAGTTATTTTTACCCATTCATTGCTCAGTTTGAACAAATTGTCCGAATAGACTCTCACTTCATGGGTATAATAGTAATCCAAACAAAATTTGTAAGTTTAATGGGAAAGAGGTTACAATAAGTGGAAGGTTCATATCAACACCCATCACTAGCAATTCAATATCGTCAATGCAAGACAGTCTTCAGTTTTCCAACAAACTGTAATTCGCTCAAAGGTTTGCACAATGCTGGAGAACATAAATGAGTTATATTTCAAATTTGAGGCTGACTTGTCTAAACTCTCTGTTTCTCCAATTCCTACTAAAAGCTCCACCCAATTCCAGGTTATATTGCCTCCTCTATAGTTTTTTAACCGCTATTCCAGCTCAGTAATTAATTGAATTTACTCTCGCTAGCCAGAGAGAGGGTAAAATAAACGAATCATACGCACTCTATGGAATCTTTCTCGCTTCAAGGCATTGTGACACGACAGTTATTTGAGTCTATAGTAATTGTGCAACACTCACTCCCGAAATCCTATCCACGTGATGTTGGAGAAATCATATATACCGCGAAAAAGGGTGGAAAGAATTTTCGCTCTTTTCTCTACTAAACTCTTAACCCACCCCCCTCCCCTGCACCCCACCTGCAATATTATTTCTTCAAAATAGCTTGGTTAGTACCGCCACTTTTGAGTTGAACCAAAGCTCATTTTCAGTCCAAAGCGATCGACACTGTGGATGGTAAATGGAAGTAAATCAATGAAGTAGGTCTTGTTAAATCCTATTTCTTTCTCAAATGGAGCACTGCTGAAAATAGTAGGATAGAAGACAGGCGAGGTTGTACTTACTATTATTAGGATCTCACGAAGTCTCGCGTTGATCTCAGTTTATGTGACTCTATCTAATGAGCCTTTTATATTGCGATTGGAAGATTCCAATACAAAATTATGCTCATCAAGTCTGTCGCATCCTGTACAATCATTAACAAGCACTTTCAGGTATATTCCAATACTGGAGCCACGAAATTTTCTGTGCTCAGCTTATGGCACCAATTCTTTTCCACGAGGTTTGAGAACTCCTGGCAGATCTAAAGGATTCGCATGGACAACTTGCTGAAAACTGATTTTTATTGAATTTGACTTAAATTAGCATTTCATGATTGCCCGTTCATTGCAATTTTATACTTGCGAAACTGCGCTAATTGCGTGATCATATCCGAGCAGAATGTTTGCTTAATCCAGGGATTCTATTTGGCTCAGGCCTTTTGGAGGCTAATTAAGTTACATCATGTATCAAACCGCAATTGTTTTTACTGCCATTAGTATGATAAACATGAGTATGATAAGCTGGCGTGGGGGGGGGGGGGGGGGGGGGGAGGGGTTAGGGGAGGTGGTAGAATGCGATTGGTGAAAATATTTCCAAAATCCAGAATCCAGTTGTCTGGAATTGGTATTCTTTATTTCCTTTTTCCTAAGTGTGTCCATCTTATTTGCGCTGATTGGCCTATGAAACTTTATATTTATATCAAATGGCAGGCGTTTTGATGGCTATCATTAGCCCTTTAGTTTGCTTCAGACTTCATAGAGGAAAAGGAACATCAAATTGAAAAAAGTCGAGAGGGGGGAGGAAACAGAAGAGTGTTTCAAAGATATAAGAGACAAACACAAAGGTAGAAAAAAGGGTGAGGTGAGTACTGTGGAAATAGTCGAATATGGCATAGAGTGGGGGGGGGGGGGGCTAGTTTGAAGTGAGATGTCAACTACCAGTTAATAGACTTTTTTGCCGTATAGATATACGTTGCCCAGGGTGCACCACGTGGAGGTAAGTCTATCGCATACCCCACCTATGAAACAAAGTCATGCGAAATCGGATGGCGTTTTATGGAAAGTAATTATTTTTTTACAAATAATGTTGCACGCTCTTTTGCACTGCTTTTGTTTGCCACCCGTTCAGACTTTCATGCTACATTAACTCGAAACAATGCTTTGAACAATTTCTCCTGGTGGGTAGATAAACACTCATGAGAGTCAATTTGGTGTTTCCTGATGAATATTTATTTAATGTTTGCTTCTTATTAAACAGGGACCTTTCACATCCCTTCCATGTGATTTGTCTCCTTTCTACGGGATATGCGAAAAAAAATGTTGTAGCTGGTAGGATGGTGTTCATAGCAATGATCTCAGTCAAGTTTAAGTGATTCCTAATCTTCTCTAGTGATTCAAACCATAATTTATTAATCAATTACCCCCTTGAAAGCCACAATTTAGATTTTTAACTAACCTGGCTTTAGCATTCACAGACCATTTTAAAATTAGGAGTTAGTGTTCATTAGTTGCTGCAGACATCATTAAGCAACCAATCCACATGTTGTGTTTAATTGTCGTCTGTTTTAAATTAACTATAGAAGCAGCAGTGTCTCCACTTCACAACTAATTGCAATTGAAAACGTACCAGATAGGCTATTTATTTAGGCCAGACGATCTGCATACTTAGCACTAAAAAGCGTTGAGATCCTAAGTCACATAGGATCTATATGCTCAAATATCTGAAACAGAAAGGGAATCATTCATGACTATTAGAGTTCTTAATAGAGTTTCCTTTGTGCAATTTAGTTTGCGAAAGATGAGATAGAAACACTGGAAGCAATTACAAAACATCCATCTCCACCTCCCTGCAGTCGGTCTTCATCTCAGGAGAGTTTCCGTGAAAATACTTCCGACCACAGGCCAATTGGAAATGACAACGCCAACCTACTTCGAGCTCTTGAAGAGGGCAATATTGATACCTCCTTGGATCTCCGTGGTTCGCAGGAACATCTCCTTGGAAAAATGCATCAAACACGATGGTACCTCCCTTCATCGTCTATGGAATTCGACAATACTCCAGTGGTAAAGAAATCAGCAGAGCTCGACATGGACTTGAAGGTTAAAGATACCGATGCATTGCTGGCGTCTAGAATGAAGCGAGGCTGCCTTTTCACCCATCGGTCCCCCCCATATCTGCGACAAAGAAGCAACCTATCCATGGACTCCTTTCTACCTCCACATGATGAAGTTGAAATACCCGATACAGCAGCAAGATTAATATGCTCTATTGAACGCGTTAATGAAGCGTAAGTTGGAGACGGAATTGATCCACTCTCAACTTTATGCTTTTGTCACGATTTCATTTATATGCACTGACTTTCATCATTTTTCAATTTTGGTTAAATAGTTGAGATGACCTTCGGTAAAAAAATGAAGACGCACAGCTATCGGTTAGGTAAGAAATCTAGAGTACAAAGGTAAACTGGATCCTGGAAAGGTGTTCTATTTCATAATTTGCTTCGGAATCTTGGACTTGTGGCCTATAAATAACCGTACAAAGCGATAACATAAAAAGCCGCATGCAAGTGTTTTCATCTTAGCGGCCAATACCAACTGAAACATAATCAGCTCATTAAAACAAATATTTAAAAACATTTTTGCTATTTTTATCATCACAGATATTTAGCCTACAAGTCTGCAATAATTACCTACTTCATAAAAATTGGACCGGTATTCCCACTGTATAAACATTTTTTCCCATTTTCTCGAGGATGTTATTTCTCCTAGAACAAGGAGACCAGAGCGCACATTCACAGAGATAACTAACTTTCAATGATTTTGGCTACAACTATTGACATTAATAAGTGAGAACATATTTCACCTTGCATTAATACTAATAGATTGTTTCTTTCTGCTTTTAATTGTATGCAGAGGGCGGAGGTGAAGATTTGATGATTTTAGTCTTGAAAGGTATGTGCTCTATCCCCCTCCGCCTTTTGTCTTAGGCTTTGCGTTGCAGACGAGCGCTCTTAGCAAAAAATGGCCAAATTAACAAAAGTCACTTATCACATATTTAAGCTGATATGGGTTGTGAATATATGGAAATTTCCAGGTCCAGTGTTTAAATCTTTTTTCACCTCTCTTAAATGCCTTAAAGTTTTGTATTTGCCCCACCCCCCAACCCCATTCCTCACATGTAATTATTTACATTACTAAATTAATGTTAATTAATAATAAATGCTGTTATTAAAAGGTCACTAAAGTCATTCAGATGCTGCTGTCATTATTATTTGAGTATTTTTTGGCCAATCATTTTAAAATAAAATGAAATTTGCATGAAAAACTTGTGATTAAATTTTTTTATTTATAAATATTCTTCAAATTTTGAAAAAAAACTCATTCTTATATATGATGCTATTTTATTTGTTTATTATGCGTTCTAGGGGGGTGGGGGGGGGGGGGGGGTGGGTAAGAAGTAGAGGAGCCAATGATTTTCTTCAAGTCATTTAACTTATTTTCTGTACGAAAAAAATTATTTTCTGAAATCGAACTTGTCTCTCAGAGAGTTAGGCAAAATTCTATTTGCAGGTTGCCTTCTCAATAACCACAATATTTTTTGCTATTTTAAAGCATATGGCAAATTTAACTTTTTTGTTGAAGTAATATTGTGAAATAAGCGAGTAGTTATTTGTTCACTTAATCCTGAAATTCTAATTAATACTTCGTCTACAAGATGTTAGAAATATTGAAAAGAGCCCTAATTTAGTTAAATATGGCCTGATCTATGCTCACTTGTCAGCATTTCTGCATGTTTCGTGTCCATTTTTGTTTCGATGCTGCTGCCTCTTCGTCGTCATGGCAACAAAATGTCACGTTGCATCAGCTTTTCAAAAATGATTGCATAAAGATTATATATATATATTCAAATATATATACATATAAAATATATTCCCTCCACAAACACGAAACGTATTTCTCAACGTCAAATTACCATTGCAATGCCAGAAACAAATTTCTTTTTCTATAAAAACAAATTGACCGAATTTGGGGAATTACAGTAAATAAAGAGAAGACAATTGTTTTCGGAAATTCTGTGGGGATTTATTGTGATCAATCCATGTCTCTATGCGCCTCACCTCTGTAACCTCTTTTGCGTTAATTGTTCTCTCCTTTCAAATTTCTGCTCCAACTTCTGTTCCATTTTGTCATTTAGAAATTGCGCATTTGGCACTTTTACAAATTATGCCTCCTCTATGCAGCTACGTGGGCAGGACGTCTAGGTTTCTGTCATCCTTATATTTTCTGCCTATTAGATAACATCAGATTGCAGTAGTCTCGAGACGTGAGAGGAATAAGGCACAGAGGAAAATTAATTGAAGACACTCCGCTAATAAAGCGACGACATTATATGTAGGAAAACAAGTTGCTTTACTTCTGTTTATTTTTGAAGATCGAAACTCAGTTGTAGTTCCAATTAGCTGGCAAGCTGTCGAGAGCATCTGCATATTGATAAGGATTATAGATGATGTATGGAACAGATTATCTTGTGCAAAACATAACCAATGTTTCCGATAATCTTCGCTTCGTCAACTCCTATTGCATCGACATTCTGGCCATTAATAGCCTAGTTTTTTAGCGTGCCCAAGTGTTCTAGATCTTCCTCCATACCATGTCTGATCTGTCAAAACTGTAACTCGCAAATTATCTGATACGATCATTTGTTTTCTTGGCCACTGGGTTAAAAAGGGATGAGGCGATAAGACAAGCCTTTGCTAATTTAATAAAGCCTGTCAATAAGTATTAAGCATTCTAGAGAAGCATGTGATACAATCCATGAAATGATTCATGCAAATTTAAATTTTGGCTTTAGTCAGTAATGTACGACCTGTACCAAACATCAAATGATGTAGGACACTTCCATACTTTAATCTTCCTCTCTACACCTTCTTGAACTCCATACCTAAAGAAATGAGAGGTATAATGATAGTAATAAATCCTTAATAATAGGTAAACTATGGTATAAGGAGAATAAATAAGAAAAAGCTGGCATTGGAATATTGCACATCTGGAAAGTCTGATATTTATTCTGTTGATATCAAATTCATTATGGAAATTTGGGTCCTGGTTTGGAAGTTTTAGTGCAGAAAGCCACTTTTAGGGAATATTTTCTCATGTTGCTTTTGACAGCCCACGTAGAACCAGGAAATATAGCCTATAAGACTGGAAGACTCCACTAACACCTTCGTTCCAATTAAATTGCGCCTGTTCTTTGTTATCAAATGGTATTTTGGAAATTTAGAGTCACCGTAAGGATTGGATATTAGTTGAGTAAAATTGATAACGGATATTGAAAATGTCTATTACTGGAATCATCATCACTGTTTGCCATCTTTAAATATCTGAAAAATAAACTTCTTAACAGGGATTTCTAAACCACCTACTTCGACCTGAGACGGATACTATAGAAGTAGACCTAGAATAAACCATAGAAACCCTCTCCGGCAAAATCTCCTAGCCCACGAGGACACAATCCAGACACCTTTTTTGATTCAATTATTCCTTAGGCACATAGAGTTTGGCTACATTTGGTTGGTTTATGATTGGAGAAATTGGAAAGGTAGTTGACTTTTCGAAAATGAGTAAGACCCTAGCTCTCGCCGAATGTATTTCTGGTATAGCGAAAACAGTCAACTATCCCAAAGAAAAAGGAATGCATATGGCCTTGGTTTAAGGCTAAAATGGTTACATTAATTACAAGTTAGATCACTTGTAGAAGTGAATCGTATGAGAGCTAATGGGATGTCACTTAAGAAGATTGGGGTGTGTGTTGACAAGGGAATCTTCATTCTGCATTTTCAGGGGCGCTGCTATAATGGTCAAAATATTTTAGGAATGTAATTAATGTGTGTTTATCGACATCGTTATATCTGCTCGTAGTTAGCAGCTTGAAATTGACGTTAAAAACATTGCTGCATTGAACCAGACCATTTATATTACCGTAATCGACAAAGGTTACTTCATAATTTTCTGTTATTATAGTAGTAAATAGGCCAGCATAGCTAATATATTTTTTTATATAAAAGATGATAATTAAGTCACGGATCATAATAACACCTGCATTGCTTTCTAATTTAAGATGTCTGAATGAAGACTTTCAGAGTGAAGTTCCACCTCCAACCCCAAATTTGACACCCCCAACATGCGAACTAACTTCAAAGCAACTGACTGACAACTCCGGTTCAATTCTGAGCGGAGCTGAACAGAAAGAACTAAGTGTAATACTCTTTAATCTGCTCCGAGATGTACAAGAAATGCGAACAGATCTTCAGTCACTCACAACCGAAGTGAGCTCCCTCAAACAGCAACAACAAATGACCCGACCTAACCAGATCCTTCTATCAGATAACAATCCTCAATATCCCCTCAAATCCAACATAATGAAACCCGCCTCTGTCCTCTCACCTTCCAACTCCTGCTTCCTACCTGGGCACTCTTCAGTTGACAGCATTTCGTCTGAAGAGGGTTGGAAGGCTCCCGACTCTGGAACACCTGAAACATCAAAAACACATGGAGTCACAACGTCTCCTCAATCCCGATGTGTAACTTTCAGTCTGCCAGAAAAACCGAAACGAAATCACAAGGAGAAGCAAGTGCACAAATCGGAGACGATACGAGACACTGGTGAGATGTCGTCTGATCTTGTCGAGACACCTTTTTCACCAGCCTCTTCCATCTCATCTGATTTCACTAGAAAATAGAGAGAAGAGCAGGGTTTATCTAATTCACGCGTATGTGTGTGTGTGTGTTAACAGTTTGCTCAAGAGTAACTATGAGAAGTAGCTTTGTGCGCAAGTTTGTATAAGGGAAGGTGTTTTCGTCGGTGTGATAAAAGTTTCCCCACAATTTTCTACAGATTTCATTTGGACAAAGATGCCTATCAAAAACGGTTATTATTGCTACGTGCGTTTATGTGTACAGATACTACTTGACCAATAAAAAGTTGTATTAACAAATAGTTTTATTTGGACACTCTCAGGTATTGAGTTGATATTTTGCATAACCGATCAAAAATTTTAAGCCAAAAAGCAAGTGTTAAAATTGACTAATTATTACTTTAATTAAAGAAATCGATAAATAATTTCTATTTTGATTTTTTTTGTTTAAAAACTATATTGAACTAAGCTAAGTAATCTTAGGCGAGCGCGAACATTCTAGAACATGCGGCCGTACTAATGATCCCATTAAGGAGTAAATGTGTTCATGAGTGCCACCAGACGATTAAAAAATCGATAGTCATTATAGGATCAGTGTAACTAAAACCGACGTGGACGAGACACAATACATTCCATAACGCATTCCAATTCATATAACTGAGGTACCTTTGAGCCATTCCAGACAAGTGAATTTTGCATAGAGAGAGATTATTATTATTATTATTCGTGGGGCAATCCATTACATTGGAAATAACTTTTATGCTTTCTAACCTTTGAATAGCGTTGGGGTAAAGAGAAAAAAATTAAGACGGAATGTAAAAGTTTGGACCAAAGGAAAAGCATATTGCGATATAAAGACAGTAGGGTTCTTTGTTTGTTTTTATTCTGGGGACCTGGTGCTCTCCGTGTCACCATTAGATATGATGTTCTCTGTGTTATATCTCAACGTTCAAATGTATTTTTTGACTGCTAGGCTCATGAGCGTAACTCTGATGATCTAAATTGCTGTTTGATCCTATCGATATGCAGGCGTTTTAGATTTTAAGGTAGACCTTTTATAGCTGAAGTCACAAGAGCTTGAGCCTTAAACAAATAAATAGTAAAAATAAGTAAATTAACTAACAAAAAGTTAGCAATTGGGCAAACACAGTGTCTGATTAATTACGTCTGAAAAGGAGAGGACGTCTCAATATTAGAAAAGCTAAGATTATAGGCAGACAGACGATTTCAATTAAAATTATCCGGATAAGAGGATAAATTCGTAAGCAGTTTAAAGGCTGATCATTCGTAGGTAGAGGAGAAAAACGAAAGAAAGCTAAATGAAGGTGATGAAATAGTAAGGGCTTCGGCACACACATAATTTTATGAACAGTGCCCCCCCCCTCTAGGTGTGGCCATGACCTCGAATTAGCTAATCTTGCTCATAAGTACTCCATATGTTAGTGCCTCTGATTTAAATTAGCACAGAAAATTTTTCTCATTTTCGTCGAATAGGAGGCAGGAAAGCACGTGCATGTCTAATACTGTTAAATGTGCTCAATTTGTTCTGACAGTAAATCATTCATTCCCATTTAATGAAGTGACATTTGGGCTGTTATATAAGAAAATGAAGATATATTCTTACCTATTATACGGTCAATTGCCATATTACCGGGTTAACTCAAGTTACGTGGAAAGAAGTCCATGCCTTTTAGCTAACAAATTTTGAGAAGCGACCAACTCGTCTCCAATACGTCCTAGTTATACCTGAGATAAATTTTCGAATCATAAATGAATATCACTTTGATATTTAGGAGTCTTAACAAAATTTCTTAGCAACCCATATTCTAGTAGTTGGTTCAACTAAAACTGGGAAGTATTCAATTGCCATTACTGACTTACCTCACCGGAGTGCATACTGGTGTAGGCATAATTAGAGCTGTCGCTGATTAGCGATTGCTGATTAATATAATCAAACCCACAGGGGATAATATATAGCCTTTTCATAATCAGGATCAGTATTTAGGAGCTATTCTTGGAGTGGATGGGAAGATGTGCATGATTATGATCATTTGGAGTCATGTGGCTTTGACAACCGACAGCTTCAGCATTCAAGCAATCTTCAGATAATTATATATTATTGAAAAGTTAGCCAAACTAGCTAAACCTTTTTTTCTCGGATGAAGCTGCAACTCGTTGGTTGCGTGTTGATTGACATCTCCAATCTCTGAAGGCATACTTCAGAACTATAAAAAGTTGTTTGAGTAGAGAAATATTTAAGGTTGCTCCAATTGACAGTCGAGAGGGACAGTAAAAAATGGACTAGCGTTTAACTTTTTTATTTTAAGATGGGCGTAGATTTTTCTATTTCTCCTAAAGAACATACGAAAATTTGAAATTATTCTCGTGCTCTAGAAAAGGCTTAAAAGGAAGTTTAATTGATCACAAAGAGACCTACTTTCCTAATAAATAAAATTTAAATATGAAATCGAATTCCCTTCACTTTCGATTAAGTCCATATTTTGGGAAAAATGCAAAAAATATGGTGAAACAATTTTTTTCAAAAATAATTCTCAGCTACTGATCGCATTCGTTTTTTAGATAGATATCATTTTATTTAATTTTAAAAAAATTAAATGTGAATTGTTTGTAAAATTTGTTTCCTAAAAACCTTTTTCGGTATTTTGAAATTAATCTTATAGCCGCCATAAATTTTATACTCTCATCGGGATTGTTTGAACAACCCTATTTATAAAAAGTGAAATAAATTACTGAAGTAGTGATCTTTCAGTATGACGCAAGGCTCGATTCGAAATTTCCAATCATGAAATATGTTAACCTCAAAATAATGAAAATCATGTGACAATTTTATGCTTTCCTATTATGCTCCACGCAATCCGAACTTAATTTAGCTCGAATATATTCTCTATCTTCCGCTGTATATATATATATATATATATATATATATATCATTGTGATATATTATTATTATTTCAGTAGATGAAACGTTTTGAAATCCTGTCTATGAGAACTCAACGAATACAATACTGACTTTTAAATAAATTGTGAGAAGCGCGTTATCCAAATTAACAGCCTAAATATCTTCTCCTGAATACTGTGTAAGCAATTTATCAAGTCGTGGATCGTTTCGCAAAAAAGACTTGCTACGAAGGTGGGTAAAAGCGCCATAATGGTATATTCAATTCGTAATGCATCCAGATATAGGGCCAGTTTTAAACTTCCGTGTCCTTTTTAAGAATATGAATTCACGCTCACTCTGTCCTTTCTAACCTATTGATGGCATTTTCCAATGGTAGATGGAAGTTTGAAGGTCGCTATCTCAAGTTTGGCGCATCATTAGTTGTTTAGGTACCATTTTTAGATTCGGCAATACCTTATTATTCCAGGAAGCTAAATCATGAATAGCCACTCTACAATGTGACTAAATCAAAAGAGATTATGCCTCCTGTGATGTTGAGGGCTTGTGTGGTGTCACACGATTCCATTTCGCCCTATGTAATGCTCAGGTTGTCTTGTCACATGTTAGCAATGGTTTCGAATTCAGCCCCACAGAATTCAGTTTTCAGTCCGATAAGGAGTGTTTAGTATTGACAACATTATTTTCTTTGATAACACCGTAAACTCTGAAGAGCATGAAAGAGCACCTTTTCAACCATTCATAGCGCAGCTGACCAAGGAAGAATGGGAGTTCAAATTTATCCACCAAGATAGCACTACGGCCTATTCTTTACGGTTTTCAATGGTCCATGTCCATAGAGCTTTCGGAGGGAGTTTCTCAGGTTAATGGTCTCCCGGGTCGCCCCGTGTATTCACCGGCGATTTTTATTTGTGGGACACTGTAACAATCCGCATACCATTGAGAGGTTGAAAATGAATTGTCGCACTACCCTTGTGGAAACTGCACTAAATGAACCAGCAAAATGTTTTTTGTTTTCAAAACGCTTTGTGACGTGCTGAGTTGTGTTTCAAAGCTCGTAGTGAACACTTTCAACACTTGCTGTGGACTAATGACGCTTCACTGTGTTGTTATTTGCAGTGTTTTGTATTTCTAACTTTAGAAAAAAAGGATAAAATGTTAATTTACCTTTTGGTATTTACACTTGCCATGGCCACTGAAAAGTTGGGCTGGTAGGGGGGGGGGCGGTGGTGTTTCTGCAAAAACAGTCACGAACTTCGACAATCAGTTTGAATTTTCGTCCGAACTTAAAACCAAGTAACAATCTGTGCCTCATTAGAACGCAGACATGAAACTTCAACTCAAAAAGTTACTTTGACTTTCCTCACCACTCTCCCCCCCTCAACCCCCCNCCCCCCCCCCCCCCCCCCACCAATAACCCTCAAAAGGTTGAATTCTGCAAATTCAGGAGGAGAATAGGTTGGAAATGCTGTTAACGGTTGACTTGTAAATTTGTCTAGAGGTCTATTTAAACTCGTTAAAGCATCTTATGGGTAGATATCAAGAATATCTTAATTGTATTTCTACTAAAAGCAAATCGAGGTCTTTCCAATTTCGATATAATTGAGGGTGAGGTATTTCCAATTTTGATAAATGCTACATCAAGGAATGTTATTGATTTATGGCTCCCGACTGAGTTATAAACGTCTAATTTAAAGGTTCTTGACATGAACGACTTTAAATTCATTCATTTCCTATTGATGTTTAAAGACCCACAACTCCATGGTAATAGATTGTAAATGTAAATTGTAAATGTACCCATCAGTTCTCTAAGAAGAGCCTATTGTTAGCCACTCAGCAAATAGCCAATCAACAAATAACAACAAGCATAATCCGTCTCCTTCACATGATTTTTAAAATTAAGTCACTATTACCTACCGTAAATCTAAAAAATCAATATTATGCTTAATATACAGGGAAATAGGTTTTCCAACGCCGTGGAGGCATTAAATTTTTATTTTTCTCGTCATCTACGTACGATTTTTTTAGCTCCAATGCCATCTATAAAAAGGTTCCTCCTTAACTTTCACCCACACAGAATTGTGATGAGTCAACCATATTTTGCTCTCTTTTTACAGCATCTATCCAC